CAATTAACATACTCGACACTCGCTGCCTCAAGTGGCTTGGGATGCCTTTGAAATTGTTGTTGTCGCTTTCGAGCTTCAATTTCGCTTTAAAGAAGCGTAAACAGTTTAGCTTTAAGAGCGAAAGCGTTACTCAAATGGAAATAATTGCTATTTGGGTTTGGTTTGAAGATGGTAATGGGCGGGGGCAATGGCTAGGGCGAGCCTGTGGACTGACTTGGAAATAATACTAAGTGGAGGGCAGAGCGATTCATTGTTGTATTACAATCCAATTGATTGTTTAGCAAAAATGATTGGGGTTTTGTGGTTCTATTTTTACATTGGACGACTCTTCGAACCCCTGCTGTGAATCTCTTCTTTACATGTGCTCATAAAAAATTCAGCATACAATAAATATTATGAAAAGAATATAAATAAGCCATTATTCTATAACAAAGGTAATATTATCAGTAAAATAACAATAACAATAAATTTGTGTCATTGTTGTTGTTCAATTACACATTTTATTTATGCATCCTAATAAAATTTTGTATTTCCTATTTTCTCTGTATCACTCTTTCTCTTTATTCTCTCTCTCTTAAAATTTCTACACCTTATGCTATTAATTAACGCGTTTGGGTCATAAAATGGCATAAAACATATTTGCTAATTAATTATTGAGGCAAATGTCTCTTTTATGGTCAGGGCCCATAAAATTTTATAGCACTGCAGGTGTACGAAAAACAAACCATAAAGCCGTTAGCACTGCTGGTTGACCAACTAGCCAAACCCAAATGACCCACAGCTTAGGGGCTTGTGACAGCTATTAAGGTGTGAAGAGTTCATAATTTTTGCATTGAGACCTATTTCCCATTTGATGGACTAAATGAGAGCTTGACAGCGTAGGCTTACCATGTCAGTGTTTGAGTAAAGATGTATAAATATATGGACTCTATGAATCATGCATATTTCTCTATTATGTATTATTTAGATTCGTTTCCCGAGATTGACTGACACAGTGCCTTGTTTTGAGCAGACTCGACTCATAAATGGGTTACAAAGCTGTGGGTAGAATGAGGCATCTACCGTTTCAAGGCACTTGTTAATTAGTTTTAAGCTGAGATAATTGCAGTAACGCCCACGCAGCTGAAAAGATTTTCTGGCAGATTCTCTTCACTCTATTTGATTGCTTGGCGTCATACTTTTTGCTTGCACTGTGTGCAAAAAAAAAAAGAAGAAAACGGAAGCTCATTATTAGCTTGGTCATCAGCACAGCAAACAAAAACAAACGGCATTTTAATTGAGCTGACAGCCATGTGTATATGTGTATGTGGGTGTGTGTGTATGTGTGTGCTTTGTGTGCTGTGCTATTTGCTGGTATTTATGCCAACTGACCAAGGAGCACTTGTCCATAGATAGAGATAGCTATGCGTATGCACATAAATGCCCAAAACATGAGCTCACTTTAAGGTACTTCTACACAGCTGTCGACGCAGACATGGCTATACGTGCGTGTGTGTGTGTGTGGGTGTGTGCATGTCTATGTGAAGGTATGCCAAATGACAATTGAACCAGCGGGAGTTAGGATTTGTTGTGCCACATCCTCAGGCCTTTAGTCTGCTGTTGATGTGCATTGTTGTGGTTAGCTCTTAAGCTGACAATTCATGTGGTTTACTCGCAGATAATAGCTTTATTTAGTGGCCAAGTCTAACGTAGCTGAAGCTGACAAATAGCAATGCGTATGGCTGAAAGGCATCAGCCATAAACTTCAGTTTCATGTGCAGCGATTGAGATAGTTAGCAGCTTGACAAAACTTAAGTGAAGATTAAATCTTACTGATTAGAATTAATCGATTTCGATTAAATTCAAATTAGAAATAAAGAAATTAGAAATAAAGAAATTTAGATTTAATTATATCATATATCATTGTTTGGATATAATTATGTAATTTCTTACACCTTAAGCTTTACTCCATTAAATTATATTTCTCTTTTGATATAATTATAAATTCATATACTATAAACTACCTTGTCAAGATATTTTTAACAAGAATTTCTTCAGCCAAACTAAATTTCTGTCTCCACATAATTATAATTTCGCATTTGTGGTTGCTACTCGTTACCCACCGCAATTTTAATCAAATACAATGCTCCACAATGAACCACATAAATCCATAACACACACACACGCACAATTACGACCCACAACATTGACCACAGCCAAATTATAGAGCCGGCTTCGAGTAGGGTTCCATTATGAATATCTCTGGAGAGGTTCTCAAAGTGCGCCACTTTTCATAGAGTGCAACAGTTATTGGTCAGCCACATGGAAAATTGGCCAAGAGCTAATAGACTGCTGCCCAAATGTTAGTGGGAGAGAGAAGGGTGGGGGACTAATACATACTCTAATGGCAATTATGTTGGGAAGGCATGTTTAATTTGTGCCCGGCACAGTTCACTTTACAACCAACTGCCATGTCAAGTGGCATGGCACCAAAGGAAAAAGAGTGCAAAAAAATGAGGAGGGAAAACCACAACAGGAGCCATAACATGGACAACATATGTACATGACATGGAGCCGAGCCAAGAGGACATGAGCACATACTCATGGCGCCAACATACAAGTATCCCGTTTTAGAGTGCGTGCGCCAATCAAATTGCATAGAGTTGAGTTGGACCCCAATCACAATAGGAATTGTTAAGTGCTTCAATCATTTGTGGAAATTGTGATAAGTGTGGTTGGGTATAAAGTAGAAATGTAGAAAAGCAAAACTCTATCGAATATATGTCTTCATAACAAATATTAGATCAGCAATCCGAAATCTGTACTATAGAATATGAGAGCCAAAGACCATTGACCAACAAGATCCCAGATCAAAAGCCAAAAATAATCCTTCTACTCAACAATTCGATTTGAAATTCCTGTTTAACTGACCAACTGTATCATTCTATCTTTTTCCCAAACCCATAACATGGCCAAGGATTAATTCTCCCACTAATTGCTTAAAGTGAACAGACAAATGCCAATTTATTGTCTAGGCATCAGCTAAAGTCAAACCTTATCAATGCCACTCGGGTCAAGAGAGCGCCGAGATAGAAAATGCGCTTGATAGAACTAACTGTATCTGTAATCATCGATTCAGTTAAAGCTATAATCACTCATCAGAAGTTGCCCAAGTCGCGCTGGCTGTGGCTTCAGTTAAAGCTCACCTTGGCACCAGCTGAAACTCAGTTCTCGGTCTAGGTCTGGGGCTGGGGCTGGGGCCATGTTGCTGTGGGCATTCATAAATCCCATTTGGCGGGCAGCAATTGCAGTCGTCTGCGGTCTCTGCAAAAATATGCAATTCAGCATAAATGTAGAGTCGCAAATGGGTGGGGAGGGCAGGCTAGTGAGGTTGGGGCATATCGAATTCAGTGCCTCCGGATGTGGTACGATTGTGGGTGAGTCGCTGCCAGTTGGCAACAGCTGTGCACACACACCTTGGGTCGGGGTATGCGCTTTGTGTACTTTAAATTTAGCGTGAACTTTTCAGAACTCTAGCCATAAGGCAAGTAGAAAGGCAGGCAGGCATGCAGGCAGGATTTGCCGCTTAGAAAGGAAAGTGAAAAATCTGCTCAAGGTACAAAAGCAAAGACGTCTGTTGTATTGGAGCTCTGATTCTCAGATGCTGGAAATAATAGCGAGGTGCGCAAGTTGAATGTGCCACAAAGTGCTAAAGGAAATGTTGGCAGAAAAGAGTCAGGGAGAGGAGGGTTAACGATTTGGTTTATGGTTGGAGTTGAGCATAAGATGAAACCTTATTCAATGTATGACACTGGCAGATGTCAATCTCAAACGAGAAATACAGAAAATAAATATACAGGTTACATAATATATGATTTTCAATCATGTCAAGACCAAGACAAAGTTTCTGTTGGGTTTTTCCTATACGAGTGTATTGTCATCTTATTGTTATAGAAACCAATCGAAGTACTTAGGGCCTTGCCCATGGGCTTCAATTGTTTAATTGAATATTGCCTTCTATCCAATGCCAATTTCAAAGTAAATGTAATTGAGCTTACGAGCAATCCAATTGATTTCTAGGTTTCCAATTATGATTGGCTTCTGGACTATGTTTACCGCGTTAAACCGATTTGCGCTCACATTCGCTACACTCACATACACACATGCATACACACCGTCATCGTCTCACATACAATTGCATTTGACTTTGCGAACCTTTCTTCAACTACTTCGGGAGTTAGCTCCAATTTCCCAAAAGCGGCTTCTTTGTTCTAACGTCTTTTAATGTTCGCCTTGGCCACGTGCAGTGGCTCGTTTGTGGCGCGGTAAACGAGTTTGAGCCATCGCACATACATTGTATATAGCCACATATATGCCACACGGCAGCGGTGGCGGTGGCAGTGGCAACGTCGGCTCCAGCATTGCAATTAGTCTGGCTAAAGTCGTGCCTAACGGTAAAGAGCATATTGCCCCATCTACTGTCTGCCATCTCTAAGGCAAACCATAGCTCATAACGGCTGGCCCCCTCTATAATCGCATCAAGCTCGTGAGATATACAAGCGATAATGTCGGCTCAACTGATAGATTACCATGTATCCAAACAGTTTGTGCAGCACAAAAGCCGATTCCTATCTGGAAATTCAGTTTTCGAGTCGAGAAATGCATTTTCCATGTTTTGATTGCCAGTTTGTATATTGTGTATACCCTATTGAGAGCGTCTTAAAAGTGGGTATGCTCTGTTATAAATAGCATTTTGAATTACGAATATCGATACATGTCGAATATCGATTATATTCATAGTATATATAATCGTTCTTAATATTATTATCTATTATCAATATTTATTATTATTAATATCTATTAATACTTACAAAACGTTTAAAGGTTTGTGTATCTATTTACTTTTTATATTATACATAAAATATAGTTAGAGGGGAGCTCGTAGTGGCCTACTCCCTAAGGGTTTCTTGGTTTTCTGATAACAATATTTTAATAGTTTGTTTTTTCTTTATTATTTGCAGATTAATTACATTTGGCTGCTTGTACAATCGAGTGGTAAGTATATATACATATATAATTTTATACAATTTTTTAATTATAGAGATTTATTGCGTACTAATCAGATTTGATAAAGCTAAAGAATTTCTGTAAATCACATAATATGGCCAGCCACACTTATTAAATAGCTTTCTGTGATGAAAACAAGTCTAATTTAGCTATTTGTAATGTCCATAGATGCCGTAAAAGGCTTTGGTTTTATAAGCCTTATACTCCGTACTAATACAGCGCCTTAAACGTAACTTGCAACTCAATCCAGCTGCCCCATGTTGCAGCCATCAGTGGATGTGACGCCTTATGCTCCGCAACTCGTTTGCGGTGCCATTTTTTGACATATTTCTATATTTTTGCTGGGGACTTACATCATTGTTGGCTTGTCAATTAGCGAGGCGTCTTGAACGACTCCATTACCATTCATCTTAATTGAATAATCATTGGGGCTGCTTATAAATTCAGAGTGAAGCTGTCAGAGAATCGTCAAGATTCCTGCTTCTTTATGTTTTATTTTTTGCGGCCCTCGATTCGTGTCAAGTTGACCGTGCGACAAACTTAAGTAGCATGAATTATGCGGCAGTCAGACAAGTCCAAACTACAAGCTACAACGGTTTATATATGTATATTTGTATAGCTGTATCTGTATCTGCAGCTTGTATCTGTATCTGCATTTGCATCTGCATCTGCATCTGCAGTTAGCGTCGCGTTTTGTGCTCAGCAAATTGTGGGCAATCATTGTCAATTTACAATGCATATACAAACTGCCTTCTAGTTGCGCTTGTACCAATAAAAGAAAGTAAGCAGCTACAGTGGAGCTTCGATAAAATGCAAAGCATATGCGATATTATGATTATTAAATATATATGCAGGGACATTAAACAGATTTGGTATTTATATAAATAAATATTATTTAACAGTCTAATTTCATTGCCTTACACTTAAAGATGAAAAACCCAGAACTCTATTTAAAAGTTAATAAATTGTAATTAAAACCCAAGCTAAGAATAAATATTGTATTTAAGCCATACTGTTTTATATGTCCATATGTTCTTAGCTAATATATAATATGATAATTTCCAAATTTGTAGTTTTATAGTCCGAATTTATACAAGTGAGTTTGTTTTCAAGTTTAAAGTAAAATTCCGAAATATTAAAATTAAGAATTTTCCTAGTAATTTAATGAAATAAATTTTTTTTTTCATGTATAATAATTCTTTAAAATTCGTAATTCGTGTAGGTTAAAGTTTCAAAGCTACTTTCAACACTCTGTTCTAGGCGTATATGCTGTAGGCAAGATTCACTGTACCCGCATAGTCTGCCTCTTGAACGGTTGTCAGGCGCACCTTGAACTACAAGCGGGGCTACAGCTGGATGTCAAACAAGCTTTTGGGGGCTGTGAGGCTCGAGCGTCGCAGTTTTTTTTTTTTTTTTTTTTTCTTCTTCTTTATCCAAGCTCTGAGATCAGACAGACATATAGCAATAACTGTAGCTGTTGTCGTTGTTGCTCTTGTAGATGTTGTTGTTGATGGGGTCGTACGCTTTTATTTACCTTGTCTGCTTTTCTGTTTTTTTTTTTTTTTTTTTTTTTTGCCGTTGAGAGCGTCTCTCCACTTTTCACGCTTTTAGTTGCAGTTTTGCATTTCGTTTTTATTTTCTTCCGTTTTCATAAGCAAATTTGTATGTTTTGTGCGTTGTTGGTTTTATTTATTTATTTTCTCGCCCGAACATAAATCCAATTGGTTGAACAAATAGCTTCAGGTCGATGCAGTTAAGCCGCGAAGTAGGGTCAGGGCGGGAGAGGTTTATTCGAACCGGGGCGTAGCTGAGTAGCGCCCTGTTGAAGCCCCAAAAGCAAAAACGAACCTCCAAATTGTCGACAGCTGCTGTCAGTGATTAATTTTCATGTGGCGACGCTTTGCATACATTTATTCAAATTTACGGGTTTTTTTCTTTGGATATATATGTACATATATATAGCACGATGTTTGAACAATTTGATGGGCACATAAAATTTACGAGTCGCACTCAGTGTGGCTTACGAAGTGGCATAAATTTTGAGAGGATTGAAAGGAATTGAGCTGCAAGGTTAAAACTTAACAAATGGGCAAATGCTTATTAAAATCACGTAGAAGGAATTTACCGAGATTGACGAGAGATACCCTGTGGTCAAGCAAAGTAACGTGATGATGGATTTGCTGACAAAGTATGACTGTACACTGGAATATTTCTTCTGAAAGTTGCTAAAATGTGTATGAATTAGTATAAGCTTGGATTGATTGAAGGATTGACTCACTGATTGATGCTTAAGTCATGTTCCTGATATTTAATATAATGAATGATTATTAAAATACCAAGAGTATAAGAGTTATCACATAAAGTTTCTTTAAAACGAATAGTATGCCTTCATTGAAGATTGTATAACTTAATGATGGTTAAGAGCTGTAACTAATGCAGCGGATCATATGTTGACTGATTGACTGACATGTTTTGATTGATTATCAAAGTATCACCGTATTGAAATAAAGTTTCACCATAATGGGTATAAAACACGAATTGTATGGTTACTGATGCGGACTTATAGACTATACTATAAATTTCTATTGTTGATTGATGATAAACACGTAGCTAAGACAAAAAAAATAAGTGATTAGGAAGGCTTATTAAAATGAAATTCCAAGTCAGATTGCCTAATAAATGTGTGAAAACCAGTTTAGAAAAGCTAAAATATTGTTTAAATGTGTCCAAAATACAATTGTTAACTCCTTAATTTTTTTTTAGCGCATGAACAAATATTTTTGGCATAACAAAAACAAAACCATTCTGGCATTTATTGAAAAGGAAGGAATTAATTTCGTATTATTATTTATGTTGGTGCTTGCAGTTCGCTTCGTGTTTAACTTCCTATAATATATCATAAATTGTGCACTCTTTCAAAAGTTTCTTCATGATTTCCTGTAACAATTCCTTCTGACCCAAATGCTATTCAGTTTGTAATTTGAGACGCACACTCAATAACTTAACCCACTTACCCACTGCCATGCCCATGCCAGCAGCAGGAAGCTGGGGTAAGCAGAGCAGCGGCAGGAAGCCCAGTGCGTGCCACTCGATAGTAACTCAGCGGCCAGAAGTGGCGACTCCAATCTTGGAGGCACACGAGCGACGCCGCTTATCGCGTTTAATGCACCATATCATGCACTTGGTAACTCACCCACACTCACGCCAGCACGCCCACCTCACTTGCTTAGACAATGCCAGTGGAGACGCGAAGTCCACAGGGAATAAGCGACGGGCCATTAGGTGCTCGCTGGGCACAAAGATACAAAAGTATCTTTGTATCTGTGGGATGCGTTTTGTCGTGGAGATGCGTGTCAGTGTTGTCGAACGGTGTCATCAGCGGGGCTTCAACTGCATTTTTAATAACATTTCATGTCAAGTGTGTAATCTCTTGTGTGCCCATATATGTACATACATATATCTACATATAGACTATCACGATATCTGAGCAGATCTCCTGCTCTAACCTCAATTAACTAAATGCTGCGACTGTGACCCAGTCAGACTCAATTATATAATTGCTGCACGCGCTGGCTTTTGTTCGAATGCACAGCAGTGGTCCGCCACTCATCGTGGCCTGTCAACGCCAATCTAAATGGGCGTGGCGACAGCTGCTGGCGCCACCTGGTGTTCAGTAGCGTCCGACAGCTGACATTCTTTTGTCCAACTCCGTTCTACTTTTAGTCCACTTTTCTAATTATCAAATTGATGCACGAATATTCCAATTCTCGTTCTGTGCATACATAACATTTTTCACATATTTCAAATTTAATTCGTTTCTAATGTCGTTTTTGCATCAACTTACAGTTGTATTTGATAAGCAAAGGTCACGTTTTTTCTGCTGTTGTATAACAACTTGTTTTGCTTTCATCAAATTCACTCTACTATATCATTCATTATTTGTAAAACATGCAATTTGATAGTGTATATTTTTTCCATTTAATCTTTCTATAATTCCTATTCTTCCGGAACATTAATTATGGACATACGAGCTGCTGCTGCAGCTAAGTATTGCTGTGTGCAACATGATTCGTATTAATATTCATTATATTGTTGCTTAATATTCCATACAGTTGAAAATAAAGAGCTAATGCTCTAATTTGTTTGCTTTTAATGAATAATATATTTTTTTAATGATATGTGTTGATTAAGATCATTATCATTATCAAATTAATTTAATAAGTAAAAATCTTTCAAGGTGAGGAAAGTAGATATACTATAGCATATATGTATATAGATAGGTAAATAGATAGATATAAAGTCAGCCAAATAGATGGTCAGCCAGTTAGATAATCTGCTACTTGAGAATACCTCGCAGCTAGTCAAGCATTTCTTATCCAACAAACAATTTTATAGCTTTCAATCAATTGTGTCGCCGTAGAACGAGTCGAGTTGATACGAGTGTTGCAACTTGTTTAATTTATTCGTTATACGCAAATAGACTCCACTAGCTTGCAATTTTGTGTGTGAATATTTATGCTGATTGGGGTGCTGGCGCCAAGAAATTGCCAGCAGCACCACTAACACCACCACAGCACCACAGATCGCTGTGTGGATTTCGACATGTCCAATTCATTCCTTTGGCACTTGAGCTGATAAAAAACGCACAGTAAGGCGTATTCTATATATACAATTTTTATACTCGTATATCTGTCGCATAGTTGGGGGCGAGTGGAACCTTTTTTCTAGTTTTTTTTTTTAACCAATTTTTTTTAATAGCTGCCTCGTCCAATTCTGACCTCATTCGACGGATACGCGGCACAAGCCGCTGCTCTCTGGCCGCTGGCCGCTGGCCGCAAACGCGATTTAAATTGCTAGAAATTGAAAGTGACACTGAGCGCATAAAACAAATTGCAGCTCGCATAGACTCACAAAAAAAAAAAAAAAATGATAAAAATAAAAAATGTATATATATATACAAAATGACAAAAGTACATAAAATACCAAAT